CAAAATCCAGGTCATGTTCTGTCACCTCCTGTACCTGCTGCCCCTCTGTGAGTGGGAGGCAGCAGTTTGGATGCTGGGAAGGATACACCCAGTCTCCTGATGGCATGAGAAGTACGTGGGCATGGGCACAGCATCCTCTGCCCTTTGCTCTTCTCTGCTCTCCAGAGGGTGGATCCTGGGAGAGCTTTGAGAAGGGTCTTGCCTCCCAATGCTTCATAGCCTCACTCAGCCCTACAGCTCACTGGGGAATCACTTTTCCTGCACTTTCATCCTTCAGCCTGGGCTCTGCACACTCCTTTGGGTGTGTTTCTTAAGGAGCCCTTTCCTGCTGTCCTGTGTCCCTGTGCCAGCCTTGTGTGGATTTGTGGCTCAGTCTTGCTTACATGCCCAAGCAAGTTAGCTGGAACTAAATTTAGCCACCTCTCCATGAGAATTTTATAAGCTGGATTTCGAGGTGTTGCTGCTGCTCAGTGGCTGGGATGGTTTGTACCTTGGGAACATGAAGGTAGGGGATTAGTGCTGGAAATGAGTGGTGAGCTGGGATATTCATGTCTGAGCTCCTCACCCCAGTGCCCTGCAGCCCTTGTTCCATACAGAGATGAGTTTTGGCTCAGGACTGAGCTCAGTCGACAGAGACTGTGAAAAAATATCCCCTGATCCCTGTTTGGTGCTGCTCCCACCTCCAGTGAGCATCCCTGTGGAACTTGGCACTGTTTGGCTGTAGGGGCTGTAAACCCAAATTAATCAATTTCGTTTTCTTGGCTACTGGTGGCAGCCATGGGGGCTGAGTTTGGCAGATCCCTTTTGCAGGATATTCTCCCCTCTCCACCCTTGGCATCACAAGGAGCAAACATGATCCTTCTTTGGGCTGACCTGGATCCTTTGATCCGGGTTTGGATCAAGCCATTGTCTGAATTACAGAGGAAAAGGCTGCAGAGAGGGGCCCCTACAGCCTTTCAAAACCAGGGAATAATCCCTATGCATATCCCAGCTCCTAAAGCCACATGGACACCATTGTGGGATGCAGTGTGGACCGTACATTGTCCTGACCTGCTCCATGGAAGCTCCACAGCCCATGTGGGATCTGTGGCCTTGTGAGGACCATCCTGATCATCTTCCCAAAACCTCCCTATGCTCTGCAATGCTGACAACCATTCTTCATCATTTGGATTTTTTTATACGGCTGTAAGTGAAGCCCAGTGGTGCAGATTTCCCTTTGGGATACAGCATGGAATCCTCCCCGGAGCTTTGGGATAGGAGATTCCGAGGTGTTACCTGCTGTTTTTCATTAGATGTTGATTCCTCCCAGCTCCCAGCCCTCTGTAATTACCTCCTTTCCCCCTAATTCCCTGTTACACCTTCAGCCTTCCTTCCAGTGGTTAATTGCAATAGGATAATTACAGGTGATCTCGTTTTAAAGCTCTCAGACCCTGAGCTGAGAGCAGCTGGCAATTCCCCCCCTCATTGCCAAACTGGGCATTTCTGTGCCTGCTGCCTGTGGAGCTGGACCTTTGGAGCAGATAATGAGCTTTGCTGGGATGGGAAGGTCACGGCCATATCCCATTACTTGCCCTCGTTTCATCCTCTTAGCCCAGTGCATCCATGGGACACACGGAGCCAGAGGCCAGCCTGGGATGGTGTCACTGGGAAGGGCCAGGGCAGGGTCCCCGTGTGCTTTGGGCCGTGGGTGGCTCCCAGAAGGATTTTTGGGGTGGGGAGGAGCTGAGTTGTTTCCAGAGGAGGAGGTGAAAACGGCCCTGAGAATGTGGGGTCTGGTCTGGCCCTCTGAGAGCATCGAGTCCAGCCATTCCCCAGCACTGCCCAGGCCACCACTGATCCCTGTCCCCAAATACCACATCCACATGGCTGTCAAATCCCTTCAAGGATGGGGACTCCAGCACTGCCCTGGGCAGCTGTGACAGTGCCTGACCCCCCTTTTCATGAAGGAATGTTCCCAAAATCCACCCTGAGCCTGCCCTGGCCCAGCCTGAGGCCGTTCCCTCTCCTCCTGTCCCTGTTCCCTGGGAGCAGAGCCCGACCCCCCCGGCTGTCCCCTCCTGTCAGGGAGTTGTGCAGAGCCACAAGGTCCCCCCTGAGCCTCCTTTTCTCCAGGCTGAGCCCCTTTCCCAGCTCCCTCAGCCTCTCCTGGGGCTCCAGCCCCTTCCCCAGCTCCCTTCCCTTCCCTGGACACGCTCCAGCCCCTCCAGGGCTCTCCTGTCAGGGGGGCCCAGAGCTGATCCCAGTTTTGAACACATGTAAGATGGAAGTATGTGGAGGGAGCAGAAAATATTCATAAAGAAGAAAGTCCCTCTGCATCCTCAAAACAAGCCCCTTGGAAAACCATAGCTTAGAGATAAGAAATGTCTTGTTAAATGACGAATACAAAAAGGAATCCAGCTTCCCCCCTTTAGTAGACCCTCTTATCTATCTTCAGTATTAGTGGTTCATTCTCTTTTAGTATCCATAGGCCAGCTTTGAATGTGAAATCCCTCAGGGATTGGTTAGAATGTAGAATTCCCTTGGTAATTGGTGCAAACGGCAAAACCCTCAAAAGATATAAAACCCCATGTAAAACAATAGCCGTGGGTATATGCTAGATAGGATGCCTTCATAGAATAAACCATGGATTTGTGCCTCTCTGCATGCATGTGCTGGTCTCTATACCCTGCTGGTCTGAGAGCTCACTGCGAGCCACAATTCCATCTGGGCAAGGCTCGGGAACGTGCTCCGTCACTGAGGGCTGCAGGAGCAGCCTCAGGGATCCCAAAGGGACCCCAAAAACCCACCAGTGACAGAAGTACAGGCAGGAATTTGAGGGGACAGGACTCTGAGCCCTCTCTGCCTTCAGTGGGAAAAGCATCAAAGGGGTGATGAAGGGGACACATGTAGGGTCTGGTCCTTCCATGTTCCAGGTGCATGGGAAACAAAATCTTAAAGGAAAAGCTTCTTTCCCTGGATGAGTCTCAAATCCTGCTCCTATCCAAAGGAAAGGTTTGATGAACTGATGAATTGGAGCTTTTCTTGGACAAATCCTGGTAAAATCAGAGCAAGTCATGGAAGCTGAAACCCTGAATCTTCTGCTTGACCAGGAGTTACCTCGATCCTCAGGTGCCACCTGCAGCCCAAATGCTGAGTAACCAAGCCAAGAGCTGGATGAATCATCTGTGGAATCCAAATAGCTGGCGACAGAAAATAAGCAAGTCCTGGGAATGCTGGAAGTCTGTCAGACATCCAAAACTCTCTGGTTTGAATAGGTTTGAGTTTTTCAGTTTCATCCATTGGACTTCCTTGGTATGACAAGGAGTTGCACAAGCACAGTTAATTTCCCTTCATGTTGCCAGCTCCTGGAGAATGTCCATAAAAATCCTGTGTTCCTGCTTTGAAACATAAGAAGAAGTTCAGTGTGTTGCATCTGGCAGAGATTTGGGGTGGGAGGAGCAGCCCTGCCTCCGTGCTCAGCTGCACGTGGGGCTGGTGGCAAAGGAAGCGGCGAGGCCACGGGAACTCGGGGTTTCATCCAAGATGGAAAATAACCTAAAAATAGAGCAGTGAGGGCCAGGCTGTGCTGTGAGACCATTGTCTGGGATGAGGCAGTGTGGGACAGCCGGCAGTGTCCCGGTGTCCTGGCCCTGGGCGGATGTCCTGCTCCCGGAAATCTCCTGCTGGGAGTCTGGCGCAGCTGGGGCTGGGGGATGCCAGTCCTGGGGGGGCTTTGGGAGGGGGGTTGGTGCCAAGGGGTGCTCCTGCCAGCCTGGATTGTGGTGTCCCAGCTGTGCCCTGCCTGGTGGCACAGGATGGGGATGCTGTGTGTACTGCAAGGCTTCACTTGGAGCATTCCCTGAGCCCTCCTTCCCTGTGCCCAGCGTGTGTGCAGGGTCCCCGTGGCTGAGGGGTGTCCTGGACTCGTTAGGGAGGGGAATGAGGGGTTCTGGCTGTGGTGGGTGTGTTGCAGGGGCCAGGCCAGGCCTTGTGCTGTGTCCTGGGCTGTGCAGCCCTGGGGAGGAGCTGGGCATCCTTCCTCTGTGCCTCCCTGGAGCACAGGGATTGCTGGCTCCTGGCTTGAATAGCTCAGAGAAGCTGTGGCTGCCCCTGGATCCTTGGAAGTGTCCAAGGCCAGGTTGGAGCAGCCTGGGACAGTGGAAGGTGTCCCTGCCCATGGAACTGGATGATCTTTAGGTCCCTTCCCACCTATTCCATGACTATTCCATGATTTTATGATCCTCTCCTGTCTATGGCTGTCACCCCAGGGACCACTGTCTCATCCAGCTTCTCGTTATTTGCTGAATTTGAGCATGAGGGTTCCAGTCAAGACCTCTGGTCTTGGCTGAGGGCTGTGAGAGCCCAGCCTGGACTCCTGAGGAGCACAGTGGGATCAGGGATGGGGACAGGGACAGGCTGTGGGCAGGCCCTGGCAGGTGCCATGGACACTTGTCCGTGCTGCAGCCACCTCCTTGGGGATGGTTCAGCTTTGGATGGCCAGAGCTGAACTGGGGATGTGGGGATGGAGCAAAGCTCTGGGAGTTGGTACAACCACACTCCTGGGAGAGGAGCTGTGGAACACATACTGAGAAAGGAAGAAAATTACAGCCTGAAAAATATTCCAGGCTGGAGCTTCTCAGCTCTGTTCCCAGCCCATGAGCTGGTCCAGCTCAAGGCTAGGGAGAATTTCTCCCAGGATGATAATTTGGTCAAAATAAAAAAGAATTAATAACAAGATAGAACACCTGTTGTGAGTGACCAGGCCTTGGGAATGGGGTGTCTTCTCTCTGAACCAATCACCTTTTCTCTACTCTTGGAGTTGCAGTCATGCTATAAAACCAAGTGTGTTTCTGAATAAACTTGGCTCTTTCTTTCTGTCATGAAAGACGACCATGTAGCTGGGCCGCACTTAAAGGGTTAAAACCCCTTTCCAGGGCTACAAGGAGCAGGGGGGGGCTGTTGGGGATCCAGCCCCAGTTGGGGTCACCGTGTCCCAGCTGAGCCGTCCCTTCCTGCCACAGGCCTGCCGTGATTTCCTGGACTTAGCCGAGAGCCACAGCCGGAAATGGCAGCGGCTGCTGCAGCATGAGCGGGAGCAGCGGATCCGGCTGGAGGAGACCATCGAGCAGTTAGCCAAGCAGCACAACAGCCTGGAGCGAGCCTGCCGCGGGGCACCCGGCCTGGCCTCGGGCACCGCCAGCACCGCCAGCACCGCCAAGGGTGAGCACCGCATGGCATGGGGATCCCTGCGATGGCATGGGGATCCCTGCGATGGCATGGGGACTCGGGTCCCTGGGGTGGGATAGGGCTGTTAGGGGATCCTGGGATGGGATGGGGCTGTTAGGGAATCCCTGGGGTGGGATAGGGATATTAGGGGATCCTGGGATGGGATGGGGCTGTTAGGGGATCCTAGGGTGAGATAGGGCTGTTAGGTTATCCTGGGATGGGATGAGGCTGCTCAGGGATCCTGTGGTGGGACACGGCTGTTTGGGGATCCCTGAGATGAGTTAGGGCTGTTAGGGGATCCCCAGGATGGGACATGGCTATTGGGGGATCCCTGGGATGGGATGGGATGGGATGGGATGGGATGGGATGGGATGGGATGGGATGGGATGGGATGGGATGGGGTTACTCAGGGATCCTGGTATGGGACACAGCTGCTCAGGGATCCCTGGGATGGGATGGGGCTGCTGAAGGACTCCCAGAATGGACCAGAGCATTCAACTGGGGAACATCCAGGATGGCACAGGACTGATCAGGGACCCCTGGGATGGACGAGGGTGTTGCACTTGTGGATCCCTGGGATGGGACACGGCTGCTTGGGGACTAGGATGGGACACCACAGCTCCTGGGATCAACCAGGGCTGCTCAGGGCCCTCTAGGATGGATCAAAGTGTTCCACTCAGGGTCCCCCAGGACAGAGCTGCTTGGGGGCCCTTGGGATGAATCAGGGCTGTTCAGAGACCCCTGGGATGGGACAGGGCTGTTCAGGCACGTTCAGGGCATTCTGCCTGGCTGCTCCCAGTGAGCTGCCAGCAATGGGAAGGATGCTCAAGGCAATGCCCTGTATCCCCATGGTATTTTTTTAAATGGATCCCATTACACCATAATTATTTCTAATTGTCCTTGCTCGGGGACTTGGATGTCCCCAAGATTCAGACGGGAGAGACGGCTGTGTCCTCAGATCATGCTATTCCAGGCTGTTTTGGGAGCTTTAACCCTTACTGGTGGGCACATTTCCGGGTGCTGGAGGGCAGCCATGGCACTGGGAAAAGGCTCAGGGTCCCCTGGCACTACTGAGTTGGCTGTGTGGGGTGGCAGTGGAACAGCCAGGGCTCATTTGCAATAAGATCCAACAGCTTTGCAGATTCTTGCCAAATGTCCTTCCCCCAGGGAAGCATTAGTTAGAGCCACAAAAAGTGCTAGTAGTGCCGGGTCTTATTTTTATAGAAAATGCAGACTCGAGGGAGAGAGCAGTGGCTGCTGGAGAGGGGGTGATGTTGGTGCCAGGCACTGCCCTCGTTCCTCTCTGGCCTCAATAGAGGTTTAGTTTGGATATTGGGGAATAATTCTTCATGGGAAGGGGTTTCCCGCCGTGTCCCCATCCCCTGGGGGGATGTAACAGCTGTGTGGATGTGGCACCTGGGGACACAGGTAGGCGGTGGCCTGGGAGAATGGCTGGGCTCGATGTTCTCAGAGGGCTTTTGCAGCCTAAACAATTCTGGGGTGCAGCTGGGTGGGAATGGCTGCAGGGACAGGCACAAACCCGCCTGAGCTGGTGACCCTGCTCCTCTGGAGAGTGGCAGCGAGGCAGGGAATGGGATTGTCCGGGATGGGCCCGAGTGGGGAACCTGCAGCCGGGGCTCCGCAGGCAGCGCCTGCTCCGGGCACAGCCATGGATCCCTCCCAGCACAGCCATGGAGTGTTTGGGAATGCGGGGCTGGGAAACCTCTCCGAGCATCACCTGAAACCCGTGACTTTATTTTCCTGCTTTAATGCAAACCGGATTTCCCGGCGCACGGGGCGGTGCTGGAGCGGAGCCACATCTGACATCAGCGGGTTGGGCACGCCCGTGTCACCCTCAGGCGGCCTGGGGACATTTTGGGGGCTGCTCTCGAGCATGGCAGGGTCACCTTGTGTGCCTGGGTTGGGGAGCAGGGCACATCCTTGCTTCTAGGAGCTGGAAATCGGTACAGCATCCTGGGGGTGTGGAGCGGGATGCAGAGGAGGGGTCGGGCTGTGAAGGGAGCCGGCGAGGAGGGGACGCAGTGGGGAGGGGACCAGGGGATCTCAAAGTCTGTGTGCCAGCAGGGAGTGTGCAGTCTGCCAAAGGAGAGGCCAGTGATGAAGATGAGGAGACGGAGTACTTCGATGCCATGGAGGACGCACCAGCTTTTATCACTGTAACCGCAGACCCCAAGCACCACAGGTACCACGCCCGGCCTGCCTGGGGACAGGGAGGGGCTGGGGAGGGCCGGTTTTCCTGCAGCAGCCCCTCCCTGTGGTCACTCTGTGGGCACGGCCTCCTAAACTTCCTCAGCCTCTATCCAGAGGTCCATCCTGCTCCGGCTGCTCCTGCATTCCTGGAGGAGGCTGAGGATGGCCCCAGTTGTAGTGAAGCAGGTGAGGAAGGGCAGAGGGAACCCTCAGCCAGTGCTGTGGGAGAGCTGGTTCCTCTGGCCCTTAGCTGATGGGAGCAGGGCCTTGGAGGGAAATCCTTCAGTGTTGGGCAGAGGCAGGGAGCGCCTTGCCTTGAACAGAATCATGGGATGGGTAGGGCTGGGAAGGGCCTTAAAGCTCCCCTCATTCCACCCCCTGCCATGGACAGGGACACCTTCACTATCCCAGGCTGCTCCAAGCCCCATCCAACCTGGCCTTGGACACTGCCAGGGATCCAGGGGCAGCCACAGCCTCCGTGAGCAACTTGTTACAGGGCCTACCCACCCTCCCAGGGAACAATTCCTTCCCAATATCCCATCAAACCCTGCCCTCTGTCTGCTGTCACCTGCTCTTATTCCTCCATGGACATCTGGGCTGGAGGAACCTGTGGTCTGACCCATGGTCACATCGCTGGACTTGGTGACAAAAGCAGAATATCTCTGTGCCCCCAGGGCTGCAGCTGAGAATCCCTTCTGGAGCATGCTGCCCTTAGAATCCCCTCCTAACACCCGTGCACGGCCCCTGTCACCCCTTTTCTTTCCTGGCAGTCATCTGGGGAGGTGCAGGGAGGTGCTGTGGGGTGATGCTGCAGCAGCCCTGGGTGTTCCCTGCCCTGCTGTGCCCTGACCTGTGCTCACCAGCCTCTGTTTCCCTCCCACAGGCGTTCGGGCAGCAACCTGAGCGGGGCCAGCGAGGGCCACCCCGAGGACTGGAACCTGGAGGACAGTGTGAGTTGGCTGGGCAGAGTGAGAGGAATGTCCTGGTGGGATGGACCCAGGGGAGAGGGGATGGGATCCTCCATCTGGGTCCATCTGGGTCCAGATGCTCTGTGGTGGTTCCTCTGTGAGTCACGGGTGGGGGACAGATGTCAGCAGCCATCAGCATCCTAAACATTCTCGTGAGGGAAGCAGGAAGGTGTTTGGGGACAATTGTACCTGTATGTCCCTGGAGGACAGGCTTCCAGCAATGCTCCTCAGGTGTCCCCTGAGCTGTGGTTGCTGTTCCTGGGAGCTGCTGGGTCTGGTTGGGTCCAGTTTAAACCTGAATTCCTTCTGTTGCTTCCACAGGTCTTTGAGAGCTCGAATCAAAGCAGCTACAATGAATCCACGGGCAAAGATCTCCTGCCGAGGAAAAGGAGGCGGAGTCGCATTCCTGACAAACCCAACTACAGCCTTAACCTGTGGAGCATCATGAAGAACTGCATTGGCAAAGAGCTCTCCAAGATCCCCATGCCCGTGAGTCTGAGTGTCCCTGGCACCCAGGGCTGGCACAGGGGGTGTGTTTGGGCAGCTCTTGGCTGTGCACAGGGTTTGGGTTACAGCTCTGGATGGTTTGCTGGTGCTGTGGTGGCACATCAGTCCTGAGCAGGAGGGACAGGAGATTGTCACCAGGGACTGGATTTTGTGCTGGAAGAGCCCTCTGCAACTGCTGCATGCTGATCGTGGCATTGTGGAACGGTTTGGGTGGGAAGGGACCTTAAAGCCCATCCAGTGTCACCCCTGCCATGGCAGGGACACCTCCCACTGTCCCAGGGTGCTCCAAGCCCCAATGTCCAACCTGGCCTTGGACACTTCCAGGGATCCAGGGGCAGCCACAGCTGCTCTGGGCACCCTGTGCCAGGGCCTGCCCACCCTGCCAGGGAACAATTCCTTCCCAATATCCCACCTAAATCTACTCTTTTTAGTTTAAAGTCATTGGCTTTATTCTACTTGGCAAGGATATTGTATTTTAATTGTGTATTCCCTGTTCTGTCCAGAAACAAGGATAATTTTCACAGACTGAGAAGTGTTGGGCCCTGGCTCTTCAGACAAATTATTTTCCTGGGAATTCTCTCCCCCATTAGGCTTCTTTACCTGAGGCAAAGCTCAGCATGGTCCAGCTGTACTCCCAGGTGTCCCTGAGAGTCTGTTCCTACAGCCTTTGGATTTTTTCAGAGATATGTATTCCTTCCCAATATCCCATCCAGCCCTGCCCTCTGGCAGTGGAAGCCATTCCCTGTGTCCTGTCCCTCCATCCCTTGTCCCCAGTCCCTCTCCAGCTCTCCTGGAGCCCCTTTAGGCCCTGGAAGGGGCTCTGAGCTCTCCCTGGATCCTTCTCCTCCCCAAGGGAGCACCCCCAGCTCTCCCAGCCTGGCTCCAGCCCTGGGAGCATCTCCATGGCCTCCTCTGGACTGATTCCAGCACATCCTTGCTCCAGGGCAAGCTGGAGCAGAGGGGCCATTGCCAGAGTGTCCTGTGCACATCCAGCCATGCAGAGGCAGGGAGGGAAACAGGACTCTGTGAATCCCTGAGGATTCATGAAGAAGGGACCCTGTTGCTGGTGATGTTTTCCCCAGTGTGATCCAGGACAGAAGACACCACACCAGGGCAGGGCTGTGTTCTGTCCCAGGGGCTCAGAGATTCTAATTTTCCTTACAGAGAGCAGCTTTTTGGTGAAGGAGGTGCTTGGGGTGGATTTTGGGTGCTGATGGTGCAGCCCTGGAGGCAGAGGCTCTCTGTGATGGCCAGAAAGGGTTTGCTGGGGGTCTGTGTGGATGAGCCCCTCCCATGGGCTGCACTGAGCCATATTCATGGTCCATCCTCTGCTGGGTAAAGAACAAGCAGTACATTCCAGAGGCTGGGATGCTGAATTGGTTGTGTTTTGTCTATTCAAACAGAGCCTGAGTGAGAGCTCAGAGCTGTGACTGAGAGTGATGAGCTGTCTCTTCCTCGTGCTATTTCCAGCTGGGATGGACAGCCCAGCACCATCCAGTTCTGCAACAGCAGCAAAACAGGGTGTGATGGGCACAGGAATAAGCTCAGGATATGAAATCTTAGCAGCTGCCGGTGCCTGGAGAGAGAAATTTGTGCTTCTCCTATCAATCAAATCATCCTGGGAACTGCTTGAGTCCAAACATGAGGGTAGTGTGGAAGAGAGGAGGTTTAGATTAAATATAGGAAAAATTTTTCCCCATGAGGGTCTGAGGCCCTGGCACAGGGTGCCCAGAGCAGCCGTGGCTGCCCCTGGATCCCTGGCAGTGCCCAAGGCCAGGTTGGACAGTGGGGCTTGGAGCACCCTGGGACAGAGGAAGGTGTCCCTGCCCATGGCCCTTGGGGATGGGCTTTAATGTCCCTTCCCACCCAAACCATTCTGGGATTCTGTGAAATCTTGAAGGATCCCACAGTCCCTATGAAATGAGAAGGAAGGTCCTGCCAGAGATGCATCAGGATCCACCCCACAAGCTCATCTGCCTGTGGATGTTCTTTGGGGAGATTCCTGATGAATCAACAGCATTTCTGAGATATTCTGAGGTCCTCTGAGATCATCTCCCTCCCAGGGATGATGGACTGACAAACCTCTCATGAAAAGCAGCTCCTTGATTTTCCCTCTGGATGAACAAACCTGCAGCACTAAAAAGGAGGAAAACAGTTGTAGGAATTTGGAATTTGGGTGTATTCATCTTCTTCCCCCATGAAAGGGTTTTGCTCCTTGTTGTCTGAGTAGTGCTGAGGGTGCAGCTGCTTTGTTCTTTGCATCTCTCCTGAGAATTATCTCAAGTGATTTGCTCTTTATGTGGATTTGATGCTGCTCTTTCTCCCCAGCTCTCTCTTTCTCTCATGCTGTAAGATCCCTCTGCCACTTACAAGTTAAATCCCTAAGTGGAAAAATCTCAAAAAAGCTAAATCCTAGAATCTGGAGTTTGTTTTTTCTACTATGAAATATTTAACTTGGCTTACAGAAGCAGCTCTTCAGCCATCTGGTCCTCTTAAAATATATTTCTTTGTTTTCAACTGAAGTTAAAAAGGCTGAAGACCTTTCACAGCTCTGTCTTGTTTTCAATTATTTTTAAATTTCAGTATTTTCAGAGTGAAAAATAGGGATGTTGTCATGAGACTGGAGTCCCAGGAGTGGGGAGACCCCAAAATGGGGCTTTTCCAGGTTTTCTGGTCAGCTAGGTCACCTGGCACAGGGCTGGTTTTCCCTGGAGGTGCTGAGGGCAGGCTGGGGGAGCAGCACATCCCTGTCCTGTGGCCGGTGGGATGCTGGCTGGGAGGCAGCAGGGGGCTGATCTCATTGTCGAGGCTCATTTTGGGGTCAGGGTGATAACCTGGGGTGACCCCTGGTTATCCCACAGGGCTGTTGGCTCCCCCACACCCCGAGCCCTGGTGCTGCCTGGCACAGAGCAGGGAGCAGAGCACACACTGCCTTCCTTCGGGCTTGGTGGTGCCTCTTGGGCATCTCTCCTGCTTTCTTAACCCTGCCTCGTTCCCCTGCAGGTAAATTTCAACGAGCCCCTGTCCATGCTGCAGCGGCTCACAGAGGACCTGGAGTACCACGAGCTGCTGGACAAGGCAGTGAAGTGTGAGAGCTCCACGGAGCAGATGTGCTTTGTGGCTGCCTTCTCCGTGTCCTCCTACTCCACCACCGTGCACCGCACTGCAAAGCCATTCAACCCCCTGCTGGGGGAGACCTTCGAGCTGGATCGCCTGGAGGAGCTGGGATTCCGATCCCTCTGCGAGCAGGTCAGGGCTGCGGCTGCCTGGGCTCACCCTGCTGAGCTCACCCTGCTGGGCTCACCCTGCTGGGCTCACCCTGCTGGGGTTCTGCACCACTTCATCAGTGCTTTGTCTCAGTCTCTTCTGCCTTCACTCAGAGCCAGGATTAAACAACACACAAAGAAAACGGATTTTCTCATGTTCGGGCTTGGTTGTTTATTAAATCTTATCTAAAGTACAGAGAGTTCAGCAACACCTCAAGCCACCAGCTAAAAGTGAGCAAAATGGAGCCAGATCCAGCTGCTACAAGGTCTCTTACAGCTAAACAGTCCAACAGAGAATTAACACCTATATTATTTATACTTTTAACCCAATAACCAAACTCCCGTGACCCTCAGTGCAGCACTCACTGACCAACCAGAAACTACTGCCTGAAATCATGGAGAAGGAAGATGAGCAGCAAAAGAGACACCACCCAAATTCCTCCATCTTGTCCCATACCAATTACTATATTATAAAAACCTCAAATTCAAAACCCTTCACCCTGTGAAATCACATACCTCTATTTAACTACACACCTGTGATTTTAACTCCATCACTCAAATTTGGGAGCCTTCTCCAAGGGCTCAGGTCAAAAGCAGTGTTCTCCAGGGGGTCAGTGCCAGAAAGCTCAAAAACCCCAGGTTTGTGGGATCCAGCACTGGTGCTCCTGGCCTGCTGGGAGGCGCCAGCACCTTCCTGAGCCTTCCATGGGCTCTTCTCCCAGCAATGGCATGAGGACAAGGTGGTGGAGTCCCCACCCCTGGGGGTGTCCCAGGATGTGGCACTCAGTGTTCTGGGCTGGGTGACAAGATGGGGATGGGTCACGTGTGGATTGGCTTGTCCCTTTTTTCCCAAGGTTTGGAGCAATTGCTGCACTGGTGCCAGGCTCTGCCACCAGCTCCTTGCAGGACAGCCAGGGGTAGGCAAAGCCCTCGCTGGCAATGAGTGTCAAAACTTGTGAGACATCTGTGGAGCTCTGGTTTGAGGCAGGAGAGCACATCCCATCCCCATCCCCATCCCATCCCATCCCATCCCATCCCATCCCATCCCACCCCACCCCTCTTGGCCATGCTGCTCTGGGCAGTGACAGGGAGCACTGTCACACAGGCTGTGTGGGGTATCCTGGAAGTGTGACCCTGTGCTTGTGACACAGGGAAGGTCCTGCAGTAGATAATCCCCAAAATTCCTGTGTCTGCTGTCCCTCCACACCCCCTAGAGCTGTGTGCCTGATGTCACCCAGCTCTGCATTGTCCCTCTATGGTCCATCCCAGCCTGGGAACCATCCCAGTGCCCGTGGTCACAGCAAGGTGGGGACACTGCCAGCCACAACCTGAGCCTGGTGCATCCCCCTGCCTGCCAGGGCCAGAGGTGGCCTCAGCCCTCGGGCCAGCCCAGCACTGTGGCTGTCACAGAGCTCAGGTTCTCCCACCTCAGCAGTGTCACACCTTCACCTCCCCTTGCCTGGCAGCAGTTCCTGGTCTGTCACCTGGTTTAGCCTGGGCCATTGGGAGTGGATGATTCCTGGCCAGGATCCATCTCTTAGCCAGCTGTAACCTTCACCTTCCTGGGGTACAGCTGGAACTCCTGGGTGGATTTATCAGCCTCATCCTAGCTGTGGTGCCCAGCCCAGGGCTACCTGTTGGGTTCCTCTGGCTACCTTAGACCACAGTAGTCCCAGTCCTGCCTGTGCAGTGCTGCTGGACAACCCTGACTGCCTCATTCCCAAACTCTGTCATCCCTGTTCTCATTCTTCCATCCCCTTTTCACCACAGTCCTTTGTCCATCCCTGTTCTTGCCCAAATAAATAACTTGCCTGGAGTTCCTTTCTCCAGTTGGTCCCAGTTTTCCTCCATTTGTACCCAAATCTGATACTCCTGACCAATTCCAGCCTCCTTTCCCAGTGCTCTGAATTTCCATGGGTACTGCCAGTGCTGCTCAGCTCACAACACACCCAGCCAAGCAGTGATAATCCAGTGCCTGAAATCCAGTTATCCAAATAGGATTTCCTGCTGCTGGTGACTGGGATTTAATGGCAAGGTCTTGTGTGTGTAATCCAGAGCTCGGGGTGCTCAGCCTGTAATTACAGCAGGGAAATCATCCTGGAGCTCTGGGGATCCGTGGGTGCCTGTGCCAGGCTGTGCCACCAGCTGAGAGCCTGCCTGGAGGACAGATACCTCTGGGATATTCCTGCTCCCACCTTTGTTTTGGGCAGCTTTTCCAGGGCAGGGCAGTGTGAGCACCATCCTCTAACAAGTCACTCTCAGGATTTTGGATGCTGTTTCCCTTTTCCAGCCCGGTGTGTGTGTGAGGGAAAAGCCAAAGTCTTGCTGTGTTTTTTGGACAATTTGTGTCCTCTGGGATTTCTGAGGTGCTGTTCCACTGGGGTTACTGGGGTGCTAGCACATCCAAGTTTCTCAGCCAGGATCCAAGGAAAGTAGGGATCATGAAGCAACAGGATCTTACAGCAGTGGTTGCTCAAGTGAAGATTTCATGGATCATGCTTTGAAATGAGCCTTAGCAAATCCTGGCAGGATCCTGGTGTGTCTCCCTTTGCTGCCAGGGCACCGCCTGGGGGTCCCCCCAGTGCCCAGGAGGAGAGTGGGCTGTCCAGAGCCTGGAGCCCCCCTAGTGCTGAGCTGATGTGCAGCTGTCCCCTCTCCAAGCGCTCAGCGGGGCTCTCTGGTGGCCGTGTCCTCACGGGCTGTGTGTCCTGTCCCCAGGTGAGCCACCACCCCCCAGCAGCCGCCCACCACGTGTACTCCAGGCGAGGCTGGACGTTGTGGCAGGAGATCACCATTGCCAGCAAGTTCAGGGGCAAATACCTCTCCATCATGCCACTGGGTAGGTGATGGATTCTGGAATTATCTGGGATTGGTTGGCCTTGCACTGCTCATGCAAAACCCAGCAGTTAAAGAAACTGCTTCCTTAGCCTTTAGGAATTGCTGGGGTTCACCTGGGGCACAGAGAATCCCCTGGGCTCACCTGGGGCTCAGTGAATTCCACCCCAAGCAATTAAGGAGCCCAGATTTGTGCTCCTGATGCAATGATCCAACAACAACATGTCTGCCCTGCAAGTGGAAATGATGCCAGCTGCAAAGGCTCCTTTGCTTTGGAAATATCCTTCTTGCCCAGGATCTGATTTCTCTTTCCATGATGTTTAAAGTTAACTTGCTGCCTGTTTTAACCCTCTCCCTGCCAGTCAAGTGCAATTAGCTGCCTCCTTCCAGCATTTTGTTTTCCTTTTGCATGTCCCTGGGCTGGGCAGCATTCCCAGAGTGGTGCCAGTGCCTGAATCAACCAGACAGCACATTTCTGATCTGCTTTTTAAAATGAGTACTTTAGGCAGAGGGCCTGGCAGGAGTTGTGCCTCCCATCCTGGAGCAGACTAAGGGAGGGATGAATCCAGAGCCAGACGTGGTTGGGGGGTGCAGGGAGAGGGATGGCCCTGAGGATGAGCACAGTGCTGGGGTGGTGGTGGGGGGCTCTGGGGAGCCTCTGCCCCTGCTGAGCTCACATCATTCCTGTCTCTGCAGGCGCCATCCACCTGGAGTTCCACTCCAGTGGGAATCACTATGTCTGGAGGAAAGTCACCTCCACTGTGCACAACATCATCGTGGGCAAGCTCTGGATCGACCAGGTGGGTGAGGGGACAGCTCTGCCTGGCTCTGGGGGCTGGAGGAGCACTGCCCTCCTAGGGCACATGCTCCTGCCATGATGGGAAGCTGTGCTTCCCTGCAGAGATGGGAAAGGCTTCCTGGAACCTTCCCTGGCTCTTCTCGAGGCCAGCAGGTGCTGGGGGTGGCTGGTGGGGGGAGCAGCCACTGGTGCTGCTGTGCCCAGTGGTGATTGGTACCTGCACTGCAACTAACACCTCCTCTGTCTCTCCCTGCTGTGGTTCTGTGTCTTTTATCCAGTCTGGTGAAATAGAGATTGTTAACCATAAGTCCAAAGATAAATGCCAGCTGAAATTTACCCCCTACAGCTACTTCTCCAGGGATGTTCCCCGCAAGGTGAGTATCCAGCAGGGACTCTGCTCCTTTTCAGGGGTCACACCTGGCTCTTCCAGGCTCCCAGTTCCACTGGGATGAGCCCTAGCATGGGGCTGAGGGGCTGGCCAGGCACCTCTAACGTGGGTCACCAGGGAGGGCTGGGTGGCACCTCCATGTCCTGAGGTTTGGCTCTGATGTGCTGGAGCTGCAGCACTGAGACCTGGGAGGAGTTTGGTGGGCTGGACACCCACCTGCAAGTCAGGGATGTCTCAGGAGACACAGCAGCACATCCAGCTGGGCACCTGGAGACTGTGGTGTCCTTCTGGGCATTCCCAAATACCAGCAGAGCCCTGTCCCCCTGGCAGGTGACAGGAGTGGTGAGTGATGCCGATGGCAAAGCCCACTATGTCATGTCTGGCACATGGGATGAGAAGATGGAGTGCTCCAAGATCATCCACAGCAGCCACGGCAGCAGCAGCACCGAGGGCAAGCAGAAAACTGTGTACCAGACACTGTCCCCAAAGGTCCTGTGGAGGAAGTACCCTCTGCCGTGAGTCCCTGGGGGTGGGATGGGGCAGCAGGGTTGGGATGGGGATGGGATTTCCCAGAGCCTTGTGGAATGGGAGCCTCACATGCCCAGGCCTGAGGACTTGTGGGACTTGAGGGGCTGAGTGGCTTTTCCTGAGGTGGGAGAATAGGTCCCTGAAAGGGCAGGGTGGCTCTGGGGACCCTTGTGGGTGGGTTTGGGTCACTTGTGTGGGCTGGTTGGGTTTTTGGGGCTGTGGGCTCTGGCAGGGAGGGCTGTTGGCTGCTTTGCCTTCCTGGTCACTGTGTCCCTGGCCATCATGTCCCACCAGTGACTTTGTCCCCTTGGAGACCAGTCCTTCCTTGGCACTCATGACCACAGCAGGGCTGGGCTCCAATCAGTCCCTGAGCTCTGGGAGCACCAAAGCAGTCCCTGCTTTGGGGATATTCTGTTGGGATGGGGACTCCACCAGTGACCTGGGCAGCCTGTTCCAATGCCTGACCACCCTTTCCAGGAAGAAATTCTTCCTGATATCCAATCTAAAGCAGCTGTGGTACAGCATGAGGCGATTCCCTCTCATCCCATCCCTTATTCCCTGGGAGCAGAGCCCGACCCCCCCGGCTGTCCCCTCCTGTCCGGGAATTGTGCAGAGCCACAAGGTCCCCCCTGAGCCTCCTTTTCTCCAGGCTGAGCCCCTTTCCCAGCTCCCTCAGCCTCTCCTGGGGCTCCAGCCCCTTCCCCAGCTCCCTTCCCTTCCCTGGACACGCTCCAGCCCCTCCAGGGCTCTCTTGTCAGGAGGGGCCCAGAGCTGTCCCAGCACTGGAGGTGTCCCAGCAGTGCCAGCACAGGGGACGTGGATCAGTGGGGCGGGGACTCTGTGCCTGAGCTGTCCCCCAGCCCCACGCTGAGCAGGCTCTCTGGGTTTAGGGAGAATGCAGAGAACATGTACTTCTTCTCGGAGCTGGCGCTGACGCTGAACGAGCCCGAGGAGCGCGTGGCGCCCACGGACAGCCGGCTGCGACCCGACCAGCGGCTCATGGAGAGCGGCCGCTGGGACGAGGCCAACGTGGAGAAGCAGAGGCTGGAGGAGAAGCAGAGAGCCGTGCGCCGGCGCAGGGAGGCCGAGGCTGTGGAGGCCCTGGAGGAAGGTGAGTGCTTTGGGATGGTTCAGCATGGTT